CACAGTCTAGATACGAATGAGGGAAAAAGAGAGGTTTCAACGGAAACCTTAATTCCTTCCACCCTAAATTGGCCGTACTCATTGTACCTACTTCAGAAGGTCATTACAAAGGACAAGTATGTTAACATTAATATGTTATTACAAAGGATAAATAAGGTAACAAAGTTCTTCCAACAGATTCTCACACTGATAAACACTTCATGTTTGTGAAGTAGACAGGGAGGTAACTAAGAAGAGCTAAGAAGCTAAGAAGTCCATGGGAACTGAGTAAGGGTTTTTGCTTTTTATCCAAGTTCTTTCTGGTATACACAATGTCAAAAAAGTGGTGGTGGTCAACAAACCAAACACTGCAGATGCGTTAAATAAGGAAATGGGGCCTCCCTGGTGGCGCAAAGGGTTAAGCACCACACTATGAAGCTGTCCGCAGCCTCTGCAGCATAAGTTCCATCTCGGCAGGGAGCAACAAAATGGTACAGCAGACCTCTCCCGACTCGCCCGCTGCTCCCCTCAGCAGTGTATTTCATCAGTCTGCCTGTTCTGCTCCCCGCTCTGTCTCTGGTGAGTCCTCTCAGCTCCACGCCTCTGGCCTATACCCCAGCTCTTGTATGCATAAATAAATAAATCCTAAAAAAAAAAAAAAAAAAAAAAAAACAAGAAAATGCCCAAGATGCATCCATTGCATTTAGTCATAAAGAGGTAGCTGCTAAGCTTGGCTCTGGCAGTTTCAGAAAAACAGAGAATTTAACAAACTTAAGAGGATGAAAGATAATAAACAGTTCAAGTAATTTTTTTTCTTTTAGTTTCAGTAATTCTTCAAAATTTTTGTTTCTCAAGAGGGAGGAACGAAATGGGATGACCACAGGAGAAAGAAGCTGAAAAACAAGTATTTTGAAAAAGTTGAAGATTTAAGGGAGAGAAAAGACCTTACTCCCAGCCAGCGCCACGGTTCTGTCAGCCCAATAAAGGGATGAGAAGGTCCTCCTTGGATGTAAACAATGAACAGCTTTTTCATTTTACGTAAAGTGTGAATAAAAATATCTTCAGAAAAATTCCTAATTTGATTACCTTTTTACACATAACGAAGTGAAAACAAAGGCCTGGTCTAGGCGTCGCCTCGGGCTGAGCTGAGCGGGGCTCGTGGAGGCGGGAAAGTTCCAGAGAGAAGGCAGCTCCGCCCCAGCAAGAGGAACGCAGGACCAGGTGGGCCCAGAACCTTCTTCACCAAGTGATGCGCAAACGTTGGCATCTTTGGGAAATGTCCCTCTTGGCAGATCCAGGAAAAGACAAGAACTGTGAGTGGGCTTAGTTTACTTTGTCCATTTTATTGTATTTTTTAAAGATTTATTTATTTATGCACACAAGATCTGGGGTGCAGGCCAGAGGTATGGGGGTGAGAGGATTCACCAGGGACAGAGTGGGGAACAGAACAGGCAAATGGACTGAAATACAATGCTGAGGGGAGCAGCAGGGGAGACAGGAGAGGTCTGCTGTGCCATGTGGGTAGCTCCCTGGCCAGGGATGGAACTCGTGCTGCAGAGGCTGCGGACAGCTTCATAGTGCTTAGTCTTAACCCCTTGCACCAGCAGGGAGGCCCCTTTCTGTGCATTTTAAAGCTAGTGGTAGTTTTCCGTGTGTGGGGGTGGTTGGGGGATCATCTTATATGTTAATTGACCCAGTACTTCAGCACAATGTTAACTGTGGAGAACAGATACTGGCCCAGGAACTATTCAACACCAGTCTCCGATAGTAGTTAAAGGAAAGCATTTTTTAAAAACCTGACAGAGCCGCTCTCCTGCCTGCGTGTCTCTGCAGGTGTTCCTTCTCACAAGCCTTCTCCCTTTGCACAGCCCCGGTGCTCTCCTGCCCACCTGTAACTACCAGGTGCCTTATCATTTCCTTTCTCCTTTTTCTAATAAACCTGTCCTTTTAAAATGTAAAAAAAAAAAAAAAGAAAGAAAGAAAGAAAGAAAGGAAAAGAAATTTGACAGAGTAAGTATATTTTTGCAACTGTCAAAAAGCAGAAAAAACAGGCCCAAGATGGAGTCCATACTCAGGGCCTACTGCAGTTCAAGCCTCTCCCAAAAGTGTCATCCTCAGCCAGTCAGCAAAAGTGAGGAAATTTGATGATAAAACACCCTCCCCTCCCCTGAAGGAAGGTGACTTTACCTGAAGTAATGTTTTCCTTTATTAATAACCTTGTCCCACCCTCCGTCTATAAATGCCCTCCATTTTGTATCACCCCCCGAGTATCTAGATGGGAGGCTGCCCAATTCATGAATCATTTAATAAAGCCAATTAAATCTTTGAATTTGTGAATTGTGTCTAATAAGCCTCATCCTAAAATATTCGAGTTGGCATTACGTCATGTTTCTTTTTAAAATTTTTCATTTGTCTATAATTTTTTTCAACAATGTCTCCTCATATAAGTGACCAATGGAAACTTAAAAGACTGATTCGTCATGAGAAGCACCTCGCTAGAGCAGCTTGTGCTAGAGGCCTGGCCTGCACTTGGATTCTGGTTCCCCACCTGCCGGCCGGGGGAACTGGGTAAACCATTTCACTTCTCTAAGACGTCACGTCCCGGTCTTTTCCAGAAGGTAGTGATTCATACTTCAGCGTTGATGGAGGGAGAGGTGACAGGAAATAAAAGATAGGAAATAAAGGATAAGAAATAACTCCCCAAGGAATTATTCCAGAGAAACTGGCCTACCATGGCTGTTCCATGCGTGATTAAAACAGGAATTTCTGCTGTTTCCCTGGGAAATAATACAGCATCTAGATGCCCTGTGTCTGAGCTCATTTTAAGGCTCTTTTGCAAAGAATCACACTCCGATGTTGTTTGTATGGTGCTGAGCAGTGACAGGTTTTCTTTTTCGAGTGATTAGTGAGCAAGTGACATGGCCCAGACTTTTATCTGCCTTTGCATTGTCTTGCTGCTCGTTGGCAGTGGCTTGGATCGCTAATTTAGTGGATAATGAATGAAATATGGTTGGCAAACCCTGTAATGTTGAATTATAATGTCATTAATCTTTCACATCCCTGCCCTAAATTCCGCTGATCTTATGCAAAGCTTACCTTCAGAGGCTCATCACGCTACCTGAGGGAATGCAATTCCTTTAAGATCTTTTTTCTCTTTTATTTTCTATAATCATGCATTTTAGTAGCTGAGATGGGATCCACACAAGGGAGGTTTACAGAATTTGTATCCAATTAGCCAGGCCACTATTTACTCTGTGGTTGTAGAAGCGTTTTTTTCCCAACTGTCAACTCTAACTTTTTATAAATTCATTATTTCTTAACTTTTTTTAGACTTTGTATTAGGGTGGAAATTACCCTCTCCAAGAAGTTTTACCTAGCTGGGTATAAATCTATAATATCTTGGCAGTAAAAGAACCCTGGAGGGATAATTTTGTGCAAGCATTTCAATCTTTATACCAATTAAATCGGTATGATGTATCTCTCGATCGTCACACAAAACAGGTTTCTAGCCCAGCTCCTCACCTCTTGCTTAGAGAAAGTCATCAGGTTTATTTGGTTCTACTCAGATTTAAGGTCATATATCATTTTTCCAGAGCTTTCTGGCTTCTAATAACAACAAAAAGCACTGGACTAAGCCGATTTTCATGGCTGCCTTTTGATCTGTAGGTAACACCCTTTCTGTTTTCTCTTCACCAGAAATAAATTGTCATTGACGTCCCTGCTCTCCTTAAATATGTCACATACACGGGATATGATATCCTCTCTAGAGAAAAAAACGTCCTGAGATGTTAAGAAGTCTTAGAAAAAGTGTTTTGCAAGCCCATAACATCATTCCAAAACAGGTTTTATTGCTTAGACGATACCAGCATCCTCCTGAGATTAAGAAATTGCAATAATTGCTGTGTGAAAGAACAGGCGGAGAGATAGTTTTTGCTGATAAACTTTAGGGTGCTTTAGAAAAGAAAGAGCAGATTTAAACATACAACCTCCTTTCTTCATTCCTAATTGCTCAAACCCTATTCCTCCACACCTTTGCACCTCATTCCTCCTACTTAGGCTTCATTGTGCCTCAGCACTTTGTAATATAACTCGAATAATATCCACACAGTTGAGTCATTTGGAGAGACATCTGCTACGTTCACAAGGAAACAGGCATCATTAACGGCTGAAGTTTTCGTTTTAGAAGACCATGGGGTTTTGCATGTTAACTTCTAGAAATAAAAGAACCATGAATTGTGGCTATCACTTACGCCATGCCACACACTCCCTCTTCTTCCTAATGCTTAATTAATTGCTTTCATCAGTTAGAAGCACTGGCAGCCTTTTACCTTTTTTAATAGCTGCTCATTTTCCCAACACTTCCTCTCGTTTTCTTTAGCTGTCTCTAAAGGTTCCTGTTCTTCTTATGCGACAGATGGACACAACTCTGCAGGAAAGTGACTTAATCGGTACGTGGACGATTCTTGTTAAGAAAACACCTTCAGTAAGGACACAAAGCAGTCTGGCTTTTGACAGGAGCCATATCACATAAATTGAAATGGAAAGATACTTTCAAAAGATTGTTTTTATTAGAATTATTTGTAAGGAGCAAGGATGTAGAAACAGACCTAGAATGAGATTTTCCATTATGACCTTTCAGGTTCTGGAGGTGGTGGCTGGAATAGCAGAGCAGCCAGGGGCATGCTGGAGAGGAGAGCAGTGGTGATGACTCCTGGAGATAGTGAATCTCCACAGAGGAGCCCTCATTTCCCAGCTGGACAAGGCTGCTTTGCTGGAGAACTGATCAAAGTGGACGGTCCACGGTGCTGAGGCCTGCCCTGTGCTCATTAGCTTCTCCTGTTCTGGTCAAATTTGTCCCTCTTTCACTGAAAGGACACAGAGGCACATCCGCAGAGCTGCAAGGACAGCATTAAATTTATTCACACCAACAAAAATACCTTCCTTTGAATAGACCCATTTCTGTATTCCTATCAACCCATTCTGAGTTGCTAGTTGTGGATTCATTTCTTAATTATAGAAATATTCATTGAGTGGTTACTATGTGGTGTTGACTGAATCAGTGCTAGGGAAAGCTCCATGCTTGATCTCAAAAATTTATGGTCTATTGTGAGAAAATTAGATGTGAAATGAGGTAATTATGCCTTAGACTGTCATAAACAGTTTATCACAGCAATAAACTGATGCACCTTATAGTATATCTCTTGTGTTTGGAAGAATGTTTTCGTTTGAAACATTTCTCTTTCCTAATATTTTTTTCCTGTACAACACAGAGATTGAAATTTTCTTTTTTGCAGGTAATGGAGCTAAAGACAAAAGATTACTTGATTTCTCAAAGTCTCACATGTATATATGCTTGTTTGTTCTCTGTCCTTAAAGCGTATGTGTGTGTGTGTGTGTATATATATATATATATATGTATTATTAATTCACATAGTAATTTGTTGATGTTAATTAAAATAATCACTACTATCTACTTTATAATATAGTGGAATTCCTTTTTCATAATTCAAATTTACCACAATATGGATATGATTTTTAAAATTTTTAATGTAAGTTTTTGACAGACTGTCAACAATACAGAATTGTAGTTAACGCTAAGGAGCACACCATGAAGAATATAGAAAACTAGAAAGACAAATTTAGGTGACCAGGGATTAAGCAATTGGACAAATTGCTTAATCAAAAAAATTGATTAAAGTGATTGGACAAAGGAAGTAAGATTTTCTGACTGGAGCATGTAGGACTGGGAAAACAGATAATTAAGAGATAAATTAGTTTAAAATCACATAAGGAATACTTTTAATACCTCCTAATGAGACCTCTTTGGTTTAGTACTTAGGATGTTTCTCATTCTTTTTTTTTTTTTTTCTCATTCTTTAACTTACTTGTCCTCAGGGGCCCTGCCTGGACAGTCCGGGCAAGATGCACCCCCCGGCTTTATTTGAGGAGCTTATGTTTTGCCAAAAGTCACCCAACTTGATAAGGAACAACTTGAGACTCAAGACTCAGGTCTTCTGGCTTCAAATACACCGGGGGTCTATTACCTGGCAATGCCCACTCACTGCCATCTCTGAAAGTGCTGGAAGGCACCAATGTAT